GGCCGGGGGTGCTCGGCTGGGGGCTGGCCCGGGGCCGGCACCCCAGGGCCCGAGCCGAGCCAGGCTGGAGACGCCGGGGCCGGCCGCCGGAGGGGGCCAGACTGGGCCGCGCCTCCTCCCACCACCCCCAGCTTACCTGATGCCTGCTTCCTGCTTCCCGCGAATCAAATGTTCGCGGGAAGCAGGGGAGGGGGCGGAGTTGGGGCGGGGCGGGGGCGGGGCTGGGGGCGGGGCCAGGTCCCCGTGGAGTGTCCTCTTTTTGGACACTCAAAATATGGTAACCCTACCCATGGTCCCCCTGTGCATGTTATGATGCCTCCCCCAGCTCATTTGGGAGACCCCTACTAATCCCAATAATAGACCCACTTCTGCTCTGTTGCTTCTAGTGAATTAAGTAGACCTGAATAGAAAATCCCTCTGGTTGTTCCCCTCCCCTGCCCTCTGTCTGTCTGTCCCTGGACTGAGAGCGCCTCAGGGCTGGGGCCATCCCTTCTCATGTGTCTTGAGTGTGCCCCATACGTTCATCACAGTAAAGCCCAAGGGAAATGAGCATAGTGCAATGAAATCACTTATAAAACTCCATGTGCCTTGCCAACAGACAACACTTTCACATCTCCCTATCTGCATATATCCCCAACCTGCCCCCACTTCCCTGCGCTCTCTAAGTGGAGCGCAGACACTGCTTGCTTATGTAATGCCCCTTCCTGCCTCATTAGGTCAGCTGCAGGGATCCAAGCCAGGACCTCCGGAACGAAAAGAATGAACTTCTATCGCTTCAGCTAAAGGATCGGCTTCATCAGCGGGGAAACAACAGGAAATTCATAAACCAGCCATGAGAGGAAGACAAAGAGCCACGCTCTGCCAGCAGGGGTTACACTTAGGGCATGTCTACAGTTACCGGGGATTGAAGCTGCAGCGATTGATGCACCGGGGGTCGATCAAGTGAAGACCCACTAAATTGACTGCAGATCACTCTCCTGTCGACTCTGGTACTCTACCACAACGAGAAGTGTAAGGTAAGTCGATGGGAGAGTGTCTCCCATCGACCCAGCACGGTTTAGACACTGCAATAAATCGACCTAAGCTACATTATTCACGTAGCTGGAGTTGCATAACGTAGGTCAATTTACCCCTGTAGTGTACACAAGGCCTTAATCTCCTTCCTTCTTGTAGGAGGGTTCGGTTGGGGTCAACCCTCTCTGGGGCGGCTGGGAGCCAGGCCGCCTCCCTACTTAGGTCCGGGGAGTTGGGGAATTAGCCGGGTGAGGTAGGAAACAGTCAAGGGCTCAGGCCCTCAGGCAGGGGCTGAGCAAATAGTTCAGGAACAAGCCCAGGCCCTGGGTCAGGGCGGGGCAGCAAACAGTCTGGAGCTCAGGCCCTCAGGCAGGGCTGAGCAAATAGTTCAATAACAAGCCCAGGCTCCTGGTTCTGAGCGTCTGGGGCAAGGGGGAGACTGCCAACCATGAGTGGGGTGGCAGGGGGGACGCAGGCCCGCCCACTCCACTGCATCCCAGCCCAGGGCCCTAACAGCAGGCAGCCTGCTGCTGTGTCAGTGGGGATCCTGGCTGCAACACACTGACATCGGCTCTGGGTGTGCCGCAGCCAGACTAGGGTCGGCTGCCCCCGGGCTACTTCCTACCTCCCCCTCTAGCAGTACCTGCCTCTGGTCGGTGTCCTCCACGGAATCAAGCACCATGGGCTCCTCAGGATACTCGGCGAGTGGTAGGCTTGGCAGCTCCTCTGGGTCGCTTCTCACCGGTAGGCTTAACAGCTTCTCCGGGGTCTGGTCGTCATCAGGCCTTGACTGGTATGGCCAGTCCTCAGGTCGGTCACAGACTGCAGGAGTCTCCCCAGCAGAAGCTAGACCCCCAGCATCTGGCTTCTCCAGCGACCAGGCAGCTTCTGAGCCCTGGGGTGGGGCTTTTATACTTCCTGTCCTGCGCTTTGACATCTGGGGGGCGGGTGCAGGCTCCAGTGGCTCCGCCCACTTTGGCATCCAGAGGGGCTCGTCCCTCTCTGGGGCGGCTGGGAGCCAGGCCGCCTCACTACACTTCTCTGTTCATGAGACCAACCCATCGCACTACCGATCCGATCCAAAGCCCATGGAAGTGCATAGTCTTCGGATCCGGCCCTATCATCCCACCCATTGTACAGATTCTAGCTGCAGACCACAGAGGCTGCACCACCTTCTCCAAAACACACTCATCACCTTATCTGTCCCACACAGAGGACTTGCTCAGAGCCCATGGTGATGGGCGCTGGTAAGAAGCTAGGCAGATAGAGCGCACACACATTTGAAACACGTGACATAGGCACTGGTCTACATCATGTGGGCAGCACATCCTAACGGGGCGCATGGAGCATAGCAGGGGCCAGGGCAGATTAAGGGTGTTTGTGAAAACTTAGTTCTCAATTTCGAGACTTTTCAAGCTTTGTTTCAGCAATTTTATGCAATGACCCTTAGCTGGATATTTCTTGGCTTTTCAGGCATTTGGGTTTTCTAATAAGCCCAAGGTTCTAATGAGGCTTTTAGCAGAAGCAATTACTACATCTTTACAGTCTGAGCTGTTTCTTAAGGCAGTTTGTGTCTGGAACAATCCAATGGGTCTCAGTGTTTCAACACAGACTGAGCCATGTGTTCTGTGCAGAAATGGGTATTTCACGGCTGTGAGCGCAATCTTTTGCTAATGAGACTGAAGAGCTACCAAGGGCAGCTGTGCCACTTGAAATGGTGAGAAATCCAGCCAAGGCCTCCCCTATTAACCAGGACAGCAAGACCAGCAAAGGGTTTACAACAGGGAGGAGAGTCCTGCCATGCGGACAGGGGATCAAGCGGCTAGCTAGCAAGGGAAGGGCAGTGGTCAGGAAACCATTGACCAGCCAGAAGGTGAAGAGAGGCAGTAGGGCTGTGTGTGCCAAAAGGGGGTTAGCTTGGTACGATGGATGAGGAGGAGGCTAAGACTGGCTTTCCCAAGCCTAAGTGCAAGGATCTGAGACACGACTGGTCATGCAAACAGTGGCACACTCATGTTTTTGGTCCCCAAGAAGCCCGGGCGCCCTCTTTCGCTAGCCATGCATGGCACAGCGGGCGGCGTTGTTTGAACTGGAGCGTCCGCTCACAGGCTGCGAGGCCAGGGCTCTGTGCTGAGACTCTGCTGTTGGTCTGCCAGCCCCGGCCCTATATTGTTGAGTGACTGGTGAGCCACCAATATAGATCCCTCCTGGGACCTGATCCTCTTTTGCCAGGTACACTCATCACACTGCAGGCCCAGAACTGCAGGCCTTCCACCTCCAGGGGCCGGGGCCATGCTAAGAAGGAGGCCTGTGGGAGGTGTGCCTGCCAAGGCAGGGGTATAGAGCACTATCTGGAATGGGACTGTAAGAGGAAAGGTTCAGGCTTGATGCTGGGCACAGACTCTTGTCCCAAGAGAACCTGTTACGTGAGCCACAAGAGCAGAGTGTTGGGGAGCTATGGGGAAAATGACCCAGGTGTTCGGAATAAACACCAGCTGGGTCTCTCTTGCATGTTCACTAGTCAGAGGGATCTGCTGTAAGGGGGATAGCAAGGATAAGTGGGCTGGCTGGGGGAGGGAGGTGCAGTGGGGAGCTAAATGGACATGCTGGGTAGGAACAAGGATGTGAGGTTGGATGGACTGGCTGTACGTAGGGACCGGCTGTGTGTGTGTTGGGTGGATGGGCATTAGAACTGGCCATTAATTCTGTATATCCATAGTGTGTTTTCACTCCTGACAGGCTTGGTCCCTGTGACCCGGGTTCGCTGCTGTAGCGTATAAGAATTGGGTAGTATCTCCGTAAATGGTCTGTGAGGCGTCTAGTGATCCTCACTGTCTTCTTTGTTCCAGAAGCCCCCAGGAGCCCTGCAGTGCTGCACTGTACACATGTAGCTAGGCCTTGTGTGTCCTCTCTGCTCAGTAAAGACAGCGACTTGGCCCCCATGGTGCCTATCTGGTTCCTTCATGTGATGCACGTTGTGTAAAGAGCAAAAGCCACAACAACCGACTTCCTGGTGCCAGGCTTGGCGCTGAGCTACAATCTCCCGGACGTCACTGGGAAGCAGCGCGAGAGGCTGGCTGCCCCTCGGTGGCTGTGCCACCCGCGCATGCCCCTGATTGCCATGGCAATGACTCATCTCTCGCCCAGGCCTGCCAGACCTCAGCCATGGCCGAAAAGCCAGGGGTGGATATGACTTCTTCCCCTTCTGGCCTGCCCGGCGGAGAGAGACTAATGCCCTTTTCACACACACCATGAGAGTGACAGGAAACAACTTTATCTCCAAGCCCATGTGTCCTTCAGTGCACAGGACTCTGACCCTCCTGAGGAAGGGGCAGGGTTGTATTGACCTTCCCATGTCTTCTGGGGCCCCTCAGTACAGGGAGTGAAGTTGGGGGGCTTCTCAACCTTGCAGGGGCCCATCAGGGTGGGCAATGGAGCCCCCCAGGCCTCATGCTTTGAAAGGACCCATTGGGATGGAGAGCAACATCCTGGAGACTTGAGGGGCCACTGGTAGAATGGGACCCAGGGCCTGTTGGGATGGGGTGAGGGAAGTGGGGTCCCTCCTGAGGCAGTGATAGGTGTCTCTGTCCTGCCGCCTTCTCCCTCAGTGCATCACATGCTCCTCTCCTCCTGGGCAGTGCCTGATGGCACCTCAGAGATGAGAGGCAGCAGGAAACTCAACCACCAGCACTTCATTAGCCTGCTTCCTCACTAACGCTCCTAATGTTAGACAGCTGGGTGGCAGCCGTGCTGCCTGCTGGGATTTAGGGTGCGCCATGAAGCAGTGAGTGGGGAGGGTGGGGACTGGGAGAAAGGGGAAGAGGCCCATGGGATGCTCCTTCCCAGCCCTGAATCTCCATTCCTCTACTTGTGCAGGAACAGAAGAGAGAGGGGGGTTTCTCTGGGGATTGGGGGTGTAGCCCTTCAAAGCACTTCAGCAGGATCAGCTACCTCCCCTTCCCGGCCCTGGCCAGGGAGGTGAGTCTCACTGTCCCCATTGTACAGACAAAGGAAACCGAGGCACAGAGCCCCTGTGAGTTGGCCACAGAGGGGCTGGGAGGGGCTGGGAGCTAGAACACCTGTCTCCCAGCCCTGTGTTCAGGCCACTAGCCTTTCCCTCTTCCAGTACCTTAGCAATTCAGAGAGAGTGGGGAGTAAGGAGGGGAGGATGGCAATAACTATGTGTGTGTGTGGGGGGCGGGGGAGATTCAGCCGACCGAAATGCAGCAGAGCAGGATACATGGAAATAACTCCTCAGTCTCCATATACTCTACTTCCCCTCCAGTCCTGCAACCACCCCACACTCGCTCTGGCAGTGGCTGTGTCCCCCTCTCCATGCCTCCCCCCTGCTCTCACCCCCTCAGGGCTGACTGAGCGGGGTCTGTAACATCCCAAGTGGGGCTGATCACACTGTTGAATGGTGGGTTTGGGAGCCCCAAGGGACTGAGCCTGGGAGCTCCCTTGCATGCAGCTTCCGTTAGCGCAGTCCCAAGGGACCCAACCAACCTCTGCTTAGCCTGAAAAACTCTATAGCCACTCCTATCACAACTCCCAGCTTCAGCCATGTTTCATTTTCTTGGGCTACCAATGTCCTGTTAAACCAGTGGTTCTCAACCAGGGGTACCTGTGCCCCTGGGGGTACACAGAGATCTTCCAGGGGGTACATCAACTCATCTAGATATTTGCTTAGTTTTACAACAAGCTACATAAAAAGCACTAGCAAAGTCAGTACAAACTAAAATTTCATACAGTCAAAGACTTGTTTATACTGCTCTATCTATTACAGTGGTCTCCAAAGTGGGGTGCGCTCACCCCAGGGGGTGTGCAAGAGGATCCTTCGGGGTGCACGGCAGGAGGAGTGCCGCCGGAGCAGCGCCGCTTTGGTAGTTCGGGCGGGAGTCCTTTTTTTTTTTTTTTTGCTTGGGGCAGCAAAAATGGTAGAGCTCAAAAAAATTTTACTGATAGGGGTGCGCAATCAAAAAAGTTTGGAGACCACTGATCTAGTATACACTGAAATGCAAGTACAATATTTATATTCCAATTGATTTATATGGTAAAAATGAGAAAGTCAGTAATTTTTTAGTAATAGTGTGCTGTGACACTTTTGTATTTTTATGTCTGATGTTGTAAGCAAGTAGTGTAAGTGAGGTGAAACTTGGGGGTACACAAGACAAATCCCATTCCTGAAAGGGGTACAGTAGTCTGGAAAGGTTGAGAGCCATTGGTTTAAACTATTAGCCTATATTACTTAGTTTTGCCTCAGTGCAGGGGACTGGACTAGATGACCTATTGAGGTCTCTTCCAGTCCTACGTTTCTATGATTCTATTCCTCCACTGGGAGCATGTGGGCCTCCCTAACCCAGTGTTGCTCTGTTCCTTGCCCTGGTTCGGGGGGGGGGGGGGGTCTGTAAAACCCCCTCACAGGGGGGGGGGCTGATCTTGTGGCTGAAGTAGTGGGCTGGGATTTAGAAACCGTGAGTTCAATTCCCAGCTCTACCACAGCCTCACTCTGTGAGCATGGGCAAGTTCCTTTCAAAAGTGCCTAGGATGGTGGGTGCTGCCCATGAGTCTCTCAGTGAAAACTGGGCTACATCTAGGTACCTACATAGGTGCTGAGCTATTTTGTGGCAGGGTTTGAGCCCTTGAAAATTGAGCCTCTAATCTCTCTGGCCCTCAGTGCCTCATCTGTAAAATGGGGATAAGAATCCTTCTGTTTTCCCACTTCTTGTCTATTTGGCTTGTGGGCGCTGTGGGGCAGGGAGTGTCTCTCACTCTGGGTTTGCCCAGCGCCATGCGGCCCTGACCTCTGTTAATGCTGCTGGGCCCTATGGCAATGTAACTAATAGTGCTGGTTGGGAAATCTCAGGGAGGCCTGTGCGTGATGATTGTACGTGGAAATTTGCCGGCCAAGGGAGAGGTTTTTAGAGCGAGCAACTG